TTCCAAAAGGGAAATGTTTTAAAAACCACTTAAATATAATAGCATAAAGTATCCAAAATATCGTCCGGGTAGATAACTCTACTGTGAATACCATGAATCACAAGATCCACTATGTACACGCAGCAACCATCAACTTGTTACAGCAGTACTGCCATTAATGGCAGGGGATACATTCCAAGACCCCCAGTGGATGCCTGAAATTACAGATGGTACCAAATCCCATATCTACTATGTTTTTTCTATACACACATACTATAATGATGTTTAATTTATAAATTAGACACAAAAAGACATTAATAACAATAATAAAACAAAACAGTAACTATATACTGTAATGTGGACTCTTTCAAAATATCTAATTGTTCTGTACTTACCCTTCTTCTTCTTGTGATCTATGGATCGGATGACTGAGACTCATGGGTGGTAACATATACAGTGTGCATACTTCTCGCAAAGGCAAATGCCATGTCCCTGGCAAAACAGAAGAGGATAGTACAAGGTTTCTTCATGCCATTCAGAATGGTGTGCAATTTAAAACTTCTGAATTGTTTATTTCCAAAATTTTCCAATACTTTCAGACTGTAATTGACCTTGGGAAACAAACTTCAGAAAATAAAACCATGGATAAGGAGGAACTACTCTATTTTCTTATTCCTAAATATAAGCAAATAGTAATGATCCTCAGCTATTTCAGGAAAGCATCTGAGAAAAAAAACAGAGACGAACATCTGCAAATGAGAAAACAATGAAGAAGACAGAAATTCTGCCTGGGGAGGTAAGCCTTTGGAAGTTCCTGTCTAATAAAAGTGCCTTTGCTTATCTTGGGGATTTGGATCACTCCAGAGAGTTAAATAATGTGGTATGTATTAGGGGCTTTGGATCATGTGCTCTACCTCCAGAGGAGCTGGGGACTGTATGGGCAGCCAACTATGTGTACGTGATTGAGCCCAACACAACTCTGGACATTAAGGCTTAGTTGAGCTTGCTTGGTTGTCAGTACCATATGTGTATCATTCCACACTGTTGCCGGGAAGAGTTGACACTGCCCATGACTTCAGTGGGCGAGGACAACCGGAAGCTCCATGTTTGGAACTTTCCTGAACTATGGCCATTTGTCCCTTCTTTTGGATGACTGTGATCTGTATCATTTCACTGTAATAAACCATAACTGTGAGTAGAACAGCATCTATGAATTTTATGAGTCCTCCTAGCAAATTATTGATGTTTAAGATGGTCTTGTGGAGCTCAAATTTGATGTTAGCACCAGAAATGAGGGAAGTCTTGTGGACAGTTCCCTAGCCTCTAGACAGGAAGAATAAATTTTCCAAAAAAAAGAAAAATCATTATTAATTCCTCAGAGAGATAAAAGGGATATTCAGATAACATAAAATACACTCTTTGATATTAAAATAACATAAAATAGAACATTTCTATTAAGATATTAAGTTGTGGAAATTTCCCAGAAAGTCAAATAGACAAAAACTAAAAATAGACAAAAGCAAAATAAAAAAGTAAATGATTTAACATCTAAATAATACGAGTACTACAAAAAAATGACAGAGAAAATCATGATCAAAAAAATGATTAAAGAAAATTTCTCACAACTGGAAGACACACATTTTCAGATCAAAAGAATCAACCAAATAGTTGAAGAAGTTCTGAGAAAGGGATGAAAATAATAATTATATTACTGTGAAATTTCAGAACCTTGGAGAAGAACAAGAGAAGCTACTAACTTTCAGAGAGGAAAAAATAGGTTGTATTTAAAGAATTTAGTAATCATTTGTTTTAAGAAGTCAAAGGATTAATGCCTTTAAATTTCTGAAGGAAACAAGCTTCTGTTGGCCAATAGCAGTTTAAGCATTAAATACATAATGGCAGCAATTGATTAAAATACAATTCAATATTTTAAAAGTCATTAGTTCATCATACTACTCAAATAAAAGAGAAAAAATATTATTTGACAATATAAGGTTTCCAAGGCACCACTCATTACTCTGAAAACTACTAATTTAAATGGAAAAGATTGTCTTGCTCTTGTAGTTTGAACTGTAAACCCCTCTTGAATGAGAAAGTCTTTCAGTCAGAAGATTTTGTATATATAAATAGAAATGATGTAATTAGAAAATCACCACCTTACCACCCCTGTAATGTGCTTACTGATTTAGACAATTATAGTCAATTGATTTTAAAACCACTAGATGAAAAATTGATGGAGATCTTTGCAAAGAAGAGAGCAAACTCTCACTACTCGAATCACTGCTCAATTTTAGGATAACTAAAAGTAAGAGGCTCCTACCACCAGTGAAACAGTCTTGGGAAAACAATTGAACCTGAATCTGACTAAGGCTTTAAATGTAACCTCTGGTCTATGAGAAATATAGAAACAAGTTAAACCACAAAGAGGCAATCGGCCACATCCAGATCATGGATTTGCTCTGTGCCAAACCCAAGTAACATTCTGGTTATTTCAATAAGCCAATGGCATGGGGAGAAAAGATAGGAATATGGGGAAAGAGGAGGTTTGGGGGATTAAAACAGACTTCAGAAACATAACGAAGTAGAAATTGTTTGGATCTTGACTCAAATAAAGCAACTGCAAAAGATACTTATAGACAGTCAGAGAAAATTGAATTTTGACTTGTTTTTGGATGACGAAAAGGAACTATAATTTTGTTAGATGTGACAATGGCATTGTGCTTTATGTAAGACAATGCCCTTTATGTTCTTTTGAAGATTCTTTCTGAATCAGTTGGCAATGAAATGAGATGATAGCTTAATTTCATTTTCAAATATTTCAGCAAAATAAGCAACAGGTAGGTGGATGAAAGGGTAGATGAAACAAATAGTCAAAATGTTGATAGTTATTGAAGCTGGGGATGAGTGCATGAAATTTCTGTGAATTTTGCTTTTTTATATGTTCAGAAATATAAAAAATAAAATGTTTGCTGAAATTCTGAAAGGAAATAGCTTCCAATTGAGAATTCTAAACTTGGTCGAATCTTTATACAAAAAGATTTATACAAAAAGTACAAAAATAGAATAAAGACATTTTCAGCATGTAAGATATCAAACCATTTATCTTTTATGTAGTGTTCTGTCTTCTTCAGGAAGCTACTGGAGGATATACTCAATCAAAATGAAGGAATATATAAAAAAGAGGAAGACCTTGGATCTATGAATACATGACAGAGGCAGAGGCAAAAATGGAGATGTGAAGTGAGATCTCAAGATGGGACGAAAAATAGAAATTAATCCAAATAAGAACACGCCACGGGCTCTAGGAGATACTTTTCTTCAGAAGAGAAAATGTGCAAATACCAGATATGAAAAAACATATCTAACAGAGACTTACGCACTGGCGTGGGAGATTTGGGGATTGCTAAATGCAAACAGAATCAAACGAGTGCATTTTTTAAAAGATAATCAAAACCTATGGGGACAAAAATGTTTAAAAGGATAGCAAAATAATCAAGGTATATTACAAGGCTCTGCCATGAACAGTTTTATATAGCTATATAATACGAATACAGAATATTGATTTCTTTAAAATTAGGATAAAAACCATATGTACAAACGAAGATGGGGAGGGGCACATGGATGAGGTGGAACTTACTGGCATGGGAATACATGAAAGTTAAATCCTCATCTGCCAGAATGCTATCAATAGGTAATATTTAGAGCTAAAACTCAAGAAGTAACAATAATATCATGTTAAACAGAATCATAGAAATAAACACAAAATACGCTTTCTTCTAGGAAGGTAGAAAAAGGTTGCAGGAGGGTATCATGGATATGACAGTTTTACTAAGAAGCATTGTAGAAATATTTGGCTCTTTTCACTGTATGTGTGTGTGTAACTGTGGTAAAAAAAAAAACTGAAATTTTAAGAAATTATTTAAAAAGAATATAAATTTGTTTCTTAGTGATATGGAGTTAGTACCAAAAGAATCAACTTAAAGAGTTGAAGTAATTATCTCTGGAGAATAAGAAATATATGCAAGTTTAGCTTTGACAAAAATAAAAATTAAATAATAAAAATTCTGAGTCTCTTTGGGGACACCTTGGTCTGACCCAGTAAAAATGGATCTGGTCAGCAGGGAAAGAGTTTTATCTTCTTTCAATGTAACACACAGGCTAATTATTCCTACAACCAAAGTAATGTTTTCCCCTTCAGGGAGAGCCTTGTTATTTCAATTAGACATATATTCACTAACAGGCCTGTAAATATTTCTAATTAGCCTGGTTTCTTTCCATTTTATGAGACTGCTTTCAAAATAGCACCCACACTCTATAGAAATGGAAAGAGAATCTTTGAAGATTGTAATTTCCCTCTCAGGGAAGGAAGAAGGACAACACATCACATGTCCAAAAAGAGTACTTATTAGGTTCAAGCCATTTATAGTACATGTTATTTGGCACAACGTACTTGTCAAACTTGGATAAAAGGCTTAAAGTGAGTAGCAGTTTCAACCAATTAATTTCAGGTCCTCCAGCAAACCTGACAGAAGGGTGTAGGCAAATCATGAGGAGAGAAATAACATGGTGCCCACCACCATGATTTTTCAGGCCCTGACCTTGGCTGGCCTTCCCTATTGAAGAAAATCCAAGGAAGCTCTACCAGGACCTGACAATGGTTCCAGAAATCAAGAATTCAAAAGTGCATCATTGCCTCAAAAGTTAGGCAAGGTTAACATTAGCTACGTTAGACCATAGAGAAAACATGCCTCATCCACAGATGCCTACAACATAAAAATTGCTCAGTTAGCAACTATCATCACCATCACAATTTCAGAACCCTGGGCTTAAAGAACAGTGTTGGGGAGGAGGGAACAAAGAGAATTATGACACCACAGGAGGTGAGTGGAGGTGAACTAAGTGAGGTACATGTCAAAGTAAAGATAAATAATAGATTGGACATGACACATTGATATTTACTTAAGATAAATAATAGTTTTGACACGACACGTTGTCATCACATGCTTTGGCTATGTGTCCCCACCCAGATCTCACCTTGTAGCTCCCATAATTCTCGCATGTTGTGGGAGGGACCTGATGAAAGATGATTGAATCATGGGGGTGGGTCTTTCCTGTGCTGTTCTCATGATAGTGAATGGGTCTCACGAAATCTGATGGTTTTTAAAACAGGAGTTTCTCTACACAAGCGCTCTCTTTGGCTGCTGCCATCCACTTGCTCCTCCTTGCCTTCCGCCATGATTGTGAGGCCTCCCTGGCCATGTAGAACTGTAAGTCTAATAAACCTCTTTGTTTTATAAATTGCCCAGTCTGGGGTAGGTCTTTATCAGCAATGTGAAAACGGACTAATACACATGTTATATTTGAAAAATAATAGCTGTATTTTGTTTTACCAAGTGCTATCTACACGCCAGGCGCTGTGCTTAAAAGTTTATATGTATTATGTTTAACAATTACAGCACGTCTAAAAGGATGGTATGATTACCCCAATGAGTTTCTTGAGACTTAGAGTGAGGCAGTAATTTCTGTAAGATCTCAGGAGGATAAGTGGTGAAGACTAGGTTACACCCTCTGTCTGGTTCCAAAGCCCTTCCTACCTTGCCATTCTGCCACTCTTCCACTTGTATAGGTATTACAAATAGGTTCTCCTGTGAACTTTTACAAATATCATTGTATTTTATGTATTGGAAAAACAGGAAAGAAATCTTGGCTTGGAGAGACTGAGCAATTAGCCCAAGGCGACCTGGCTAAAAAGGAGCAGAACAGTGACCTCACTCCAGATGGTGGGGTTCTAATTCCAGCACTCTTCTCAGCCCATAACACAACCTTGAAAGATAAGGCTCAATGCCTTCCTGTCATGCAGAAGTTCTAAAATGCATTCCCTTTTAGGTGTAAAGTAGAGTAACCATTTGTAATTTCTCATCCAAACACAGAAAGCATGAAAGGGGGTGCTATTAGTTATAATGCCCAGCAAGGAGTGTAAAGTGACTTTTCTGGGCAAGCTGTGAACACAGGCGTAAAAACAGTTTATATTGTTTCTTGACTTTTTATTGATAGCCATTCTAACTGGAGTTAGATGGTATCTCATTGTGGTTTTGATTTGCATTTCTCTAATGACCAGTGATGATGAGCTTTTTTTCATATGTTTTTTGGCCACATAAATGTCTTCTTTTGAGAAGTGACTGTTCATATCCTTTGCCCACTTTTTGATGGAAGACAGTGTGACGATTCCTCAAGGATCTAGAACCAGAAATACCACTTGACCCAGCAATCCCATTACTTGGTACATACCCAAAGGATTATAAATCATTCTACTATAAAAATGTGTTTAATGCAGCACGATTTACAATAGCAGAGACCTGGAACCAACCAAAATGCCCATCAACGATAGACTGAATAAAGAAATGTGTCACATATACACCATGGAATACTATGCAGCTATAAAGCAGAATGAATTCATGTCCTTTGCAGGGACATGGATGAAGCTAGAAACCATCATTCTCAGCAAACTAACACATGAACCAAAAATCCAAACACCACATGTTCTCACTCATAAGTGGGAGTTGAACAATGAGAACACATGGACACAGGGAGGGGAACATCACACACAGGGCCTGTTGGGTGGGGGTAAGGGGAGGGAGAGCATTAGGGGAAACACCTAATGTAGAAGATGGGTTAATAGATGCAGCAAAACACCATGGCACATGCATACCTATGTAACAAACCTGCACATTCTCCACATGTATCCCAAAACTTAACATTTATTAATAATAACAAAAAATAATAATAACTTATATTAGACGCAATTTAACTGTTTTATTTGACATCAGATGTTGAAAACCTTTTTGAAGAGCCATCTATGCCTCATGCTCCATTTGCCTCTAAATGTGAGAAGTTCACTCTTTCCTAGAATAGTGATCAGCAAACGACAGCTTACGGTCTAAATTCTGCTCACTTGCTGACTGGTTGGTCGTTTGTTGTTGTTTAAACAGAGTCTCACTCTGTTACCCAGCCTGGAGAGTTTGCAGTGGTCCAATCTCTGCTCACGGCAGTGTCAACTTCTCAGGCTCAAGCAATCCTCTCACCTCAGCTTCCCACGTGGCTGGGACTACAGGCGTGCACCACCACACCCAGCTAATTTTATTTGGATTTTTTGTACAGATGGAGTTCTGCCCTGTCACCCAGGCTGGTCTCGAACACCTGGGCTTGAGCAATTCTTCAGCCTCAGCCTCCCAAAGTGCTGGAATTCCAGGCATGAGCCACCACACCTGGTGTGCTGACTGTTTTTGTAAATAAAGTTTTATTGGAACCGGTTGTGCCCATCTGCTTGCACATTGTCTGTGGCTGCTTCTGTGCTATAACAACATAGCTGAGTAGTTCAGGCAGAGCCCATGTGGACCACAAAGCCTAAATAATTTCCTGTCTCTCTTTTTGCAGAGTTTGCCTACCTTTGATTGTGAAACTGAAATCGAACTCCTCAGCAAAGTATCTGAGGCCCTCCACGATCTTGCTGTGCTTCTGATTCAGACTTTCAGCTTCATCTCTCCATAAACACTCATTTTGAACATTTTTCTCATTCCCAGCACCTGCCAACATTTTAAACAGTTCTTTGCACCCCCTTCTCCCTATACGTAGAGTGCTCAGATTCCCACCCACTCCTTTTGACAAGCTCTCTTCAAGGCTCCGGTGAGGTAAGTGTCAAGAAGATTGAGTACTTAGAAAGATGTCTGACACAAAAGAAACACTCAGTTAAATACCATTTAAATACTACTATTTTACTGCTGTTCCTCTTATTGTTATGTCACATGCAATATAAACAAGCTAGTCCCCCACTTTTTCCATTTTTCATGTTGTCATCCATGAAACACAAAGATCAATTTGATATTGCCTCATACGGAATTATGTTAGTAAACATTAACACTAACAGGACCCATAAAGTGCTGAACACATGAAGTTTAAATATTAAAAGATTTGGCTGTGCAAGAAATTCCCTCATTGTTCACCCAACCGAAACCCTGACTACCCACATAAAAGAAGAGAAAACGAGAAGCTGAAACCAGTCTGAAAAGATCAGTTTGGGATCATGTCTGATGCTGGTATTGACAGTCTGAAATGGAACACAGCTGGGCGCAATAGTAGCATAAAGGTGGTACCTGAAATACCAGAGTAACCTTTATAAACTGTTGCAGGATCTTCATTGTTTATTGAATCTCTAGATTTATGAATGATTTTTTTACCATCTTGTTTTACACCAATGCCAACTTTTCCTTCTATATTTGTACCATTGAACAGAATATTACTCACAGAGCTTACTGATAGCAGGGGAAGAGAATACATGTTAAAAATACACCATGTCCACCAAATGGATCTTTAATTTTAGGCTGCCGTTCCTTTCACTGAGTTCGTCTCAGGGTTTCCTGCAGTGTGAATAATCACAGAGTGCCTGGACTGCTTTTTTCTTACAGATGCATGAACTGGCACTGGAAGTATTCATCAGAAGGGGAAAGAGCTCCCCAAGGGCTCACTGAGTAAAGAGCTATTAAACCTGCACAGGAAGTCATGTGGCACAAACGTTTATGCCAAACTTCTCTTGGGCTCCAAACACCAAATGTGTAACTTTGTAATGGATGACACAAAGACCTAATTATAAATAGATAATTGTTCAAAACGAGAATCAAAATTTCGTGCCGAGCTTGGTTGTTCAATCGCAAATCCTGTCCTGCTGATAATATGTGTTTTGGAGTTGATAGGGAAGGAAACACCTTCTTACTCCCCAAATTCCAGAATGCTGGAAAAAAATGTATTAAAGAAATAAACTTTATGAGATATTATCAAACTGAAAATGAGGAAAATGAAATTCCCTAGTGCCAGAAGGAAAGAAGGAATATCAAGACAAAATACAAATGGAAAACGAATGCACAGATGCCTGTCTGGAGCATCAAATGAGGTATAGGGCAGAACAGCCTGAGTCGGGGCTCTAATGTCCCTGCCAGGAGGAACTGGCTGCCAAGATCACAAATTCCACTGGAATGAAAGTACCAGTAATAATAATATCTGTGAAACAGGATCCAGAAAAACAGTCCCTAACAGCCGCATCAGGCAGGGAAGCTTGCTTGCTGCATATATACTTACTATTATTATTTCTGCTTTACAAATGAAGGAATTAAACTCTTTCCTAAAAGATTAACTGTGTAACACAGCTCAGGAACTGAGAAGGCACTGGGTCTTCATCAAAGAAGCAAATAAAGAATTTATTTCAAGAAATAAGAGAAGTCTCTTCAACGAACAGAGATAGGACTGCTAAGGCAAAACAGAGCAAACAGCCTAGGAAGGAAAGGCAACACTAATAGAAGTGATAATAATAGCTAGTACCAGCCTTACTGGGAACCAATTTCTACATTAGATGTTTCAATGCATTATCAGATCACCCTTTTAAAAACGCTGTGAAGTTGTATTAGTATTTAAAAGTTTGACAAATCAGAATACAGAGGCTTAGAGACTTTAAATGGTTACGAGTTTCTAAGGTTAAGAAGCGGTGGAGTCAGGATTAGAATGCAGGTGAGTATGGTCACAGAGCTTGAGCATGCACCTATCGTGCAATACTGCCACAAACAGTAACGAACTCTCATGGCACCAGAGAATCATCAAGGGGCATTCATATGTTGCAGGCTTAAGAAGAAAGAGAGATGTGTCAGAATATATAATGTGCTTGTCTTCACTAGTTTTCAAGTCAGGCTGATTAACCATCCTATTTGTTAAATGCACTGATTGGTGTACCCACAGTCAAGCCTACTTGGGCTGTTTCAAAACACCTCTGCTATTTGAGAGGGCCAAAACTCTAGGGATAGCTTTCACTTATGACAATTTCAATCTCACGGTCACTGGATGTGGTATTATTGTCTTTTTACAGCTAACAATACAGAGATTCCGATAAATTGGGTAATTGATTCAAAGTTACAAAGTTGGCTTATATATAAACTCAGGTCTTTCATAAGATGTATGTATTCTGGGTTAGCAAGCACCCACCCAGAGGTATATGGCCACCAGGAGGGGTGCAAACAACCAACCCTTACTTTGCCTAACTTCAAAATACCACTGAATTATACCCTCTAGGCAGGAAAATTTCAAAAATACAACATGAACTTATCACTATCTGTTTAAAAACTGAGTTCTTTTTGTTATCCTGACATGGTGAACTGGTTGTTGACCAAAGTAACACAAAGCCAAATTAAAACCAAAAACAGTTAAATTAAATGTGTGGAGATCACACCAGCAAACCAGGCTTTCTGACTCAGGCCCAGCATTCTCCCACCCAGATCACACACCCTTGAGCTGTAACATCTATTGTTCTTGGCATTCAGATACAGAGATAAGCAGATAGTCTCATTGGTTTAATTGTACTGGTTTCATCTTGTATTTTCCAGTTAAATGTATTTCAAGAAGCAAAGCCCCTAGGATTACATAAATCTCACCTGGAAGAGTAAGGTCATCTTACTGATGAATAGTTATGATTTCTCCCCCTTTTTTTATAATGTGGCTGATAGTCTTTCGCAAAAGCCACAGTCTGAATCACATTTATAAAAATACCACTGAATTATACCCTCTAGGCAGGAAAATTGGTTTAGTGATTCATGATCTCAGTATCTCTTTTCAGTATCCTGTTAATTCTATAATTCCATAATGTTTTCTTTTCCTTGCATTAGAAGAAGATAAGCAAAGAAAGAAGCAGAGAAAGAAAACACATACCATACACATACATGAGTGAATCGAACAAAAGAAATGTCACAAAACTGGGTTCCATCCCATTAAAGAGACTGTCCAGAACAACAGCAGAGCCCATGAAGAAGCTTCAAAGCTGCTCCAGCATGGGCAAAGGGAAAAACTGCTGTTGAGCCTCATGGGATTTTATCTCTAGAGCAGATGCACAAGCAGCCAAAGAGTGGCGGAACAATGTAAGTGACTCCTGATATGCAGAAAACATAAGACCATCTTTCCATTTCTGAGTGATAAGCTTTATATCTATAGTCCAGACCTCCCTCTCTCACACATGTGCGCAAACACGTGCCACGCACACAAGCAAACGCAAATGGAATGTTGCATCATCAACTTCCAGAGTCATCTGGTGACTATTTTGTTGATGGCCTTTTACAATATTTAAAATCATGGAGAACTCAGTTTGGAATATCCCACCATTATTATTATTTTTTTTTTTTTGAGATAGAGTTTCGCTGTTGTTACCCAGGCTGGAGTGCAATGGCACGATCTCGGCTCACTGCAACCTCCGCCTTCTGGGTTCAAGCAATTCTCCTGCCTCAGCCTCCCGAGTAGCTGGGACTACAGGCACGCGCCACCATGCCCAGCTAATTTTTGTATTTTTAGTAGAGACAGGGTTTCACCTTGTTGACCAGGATGGTCTCGATCTCTTGACCTCGTGATCCACCCTCCTCGGCCTCCCAAAGTGCTGGGAAGGCGTGAGCCACCCTGGAAAAGGAACTTGGAAGGTAACAACACAAACCCTATCATTCCTTTGGTGCTCTGGGTTTACTCCATCCCCCAAATCAATTTGCTCTAGTCAAAAACTGAAGTGACGATTTGTGATGAGTGGCCACGTGAGATAGAGAGGAACTGTGAGCCTCTCCTAATCAACAACTAAAAGTGGGTACACAAGGGAAAAGAATCCACTACAGAAATACTGGGGGCTTTTCTCAAATTGTATTCCACCAATAGGGCTTTTACAGTTCTAAGTTAATGGACCCACCACAACTGACCCCTTCTACAATTCATTCATATTTATTCTGAATCCCATGTCTATTAGCCATATATAAAATCTCTTCACAGCAGGACTACTCTGGAACCCTGGAAGGTCTCAAGCAATTATCAGTCTGGTGTCATTCACTCATTAATTTATTCAGCAAGTATTTCTTGACCATGTGCTTTATTCCAGGAACTCTAGAATGCACTGGAAATACAAAAAACCATAAATATTATGTTTTAGGGACACACACAACTAACCAATCAGAATTCCATATGGTTCAATATTTTAAAATTAGACATTATCCTACTTTGAAGAGATTGAAATTTGCATTTTTCAGGAATATTCTTAACATCTAATGAAATTGAAGCAAGTGATATGTATAAAGACTAAATTAGAAACATAATCTCAAAAACAATGTTAACTGTTTCCTCCTTCTTGGTAGAGTCTGTTCTGTTTAAAATATAAGCCTCAAGTTTTATGTTTTGGGGTATATGGCAAGCCACAAAAATTATTTCTTATCTTCTTTGAATAAAATCATCCCGTAAAAATTAGCAAACGTCCCTTTCTTCCCAAAATGTTTGCTAACATGAAAGGAACACAGACTTTATATGTTTTTTTTCTATTGTTTTTCATATTATTTCACAGCTTGAACGATGGGTCATGATTTTAACTATGCCTAGTATAGAAAAATGCTAAGAAAAACAGAGAGGAGATGCCTGTTCTCTACCCCTGGCCTCCCTTCCCCTTTCTTATGGAATCAACTGTCCCATCTTAACGTGACCACCTTAGAAGGTGGTCCTCGACACCAATCCTGTGTCCATTTTATTATCTATTAATCACAACGGTTAATATGAGTGGATACATTCTAGCTGGAAGTGAAGAAATATTACCCCACCCAAATAAACCACCAAATACCCTAATCCATGAGCACTGAAACACTCTTAAGTGAAAATCTCCAGCGGGTTGAGGTCTTTCCCTTTTCTTTTCCCTCTTTCCTTCTTTTCTCTCTCTCTCTTGTTTCTCTTTCTTTCTTTCAGCATATACTTGTTCATCTCCCCATGCCTACACAGTGCTGGGCATTGAGTATATGAAGTTGAAGAACTTCTGGAAGCCGTCACTGGAGGATTTTTGTTTAAGTGGGATAGCTCCTCTACTCATATGCCTATCATTCTGACACCCTCAAACCGATATTAAAAACAAACTATTAAGCTTTATCAACCAACTGTTGGAAACAAAGGACTAATCTCCACTGGCTAGAAATATTAGCTGCTTGGTTTTGAAAATAAATTTGTTTGAAACATTTCTGTTTCCCCCTGAAAAAGTTTGTGTTACAGATTACAGGTTTGCCATCCTAACAATATATCGTTTTTATCAGCAGGTATCTAATTTTCTTCCTATTGGTTGGCTAAAGAAAAAAGGCAATTTGTGGTCATATTATTCTTTTTGAATGATGTGGTAAGCAAAGCCCATCAAATATGACTCCAGCCTCCACTCCAGCCTCATCTCTCATCACCTCCAGTTTCCCCCAGGCCTCCCCACCTTGCCACCCTACTCTCCACTATGTGCGTTACAGTCAACTAAGATTATCTGTGCACACAGCTCAAATACTCTAATGCCTTCATGATTTGATCCAGGAAACTTTTGCTTCAAAGGGCTTTCCCTGCCACTTTCTTACTTACTTTGAAAACACCCAGCTTACCCTTTAAATACGAAGTCCAACGTTCCCTGTTGTGTGAGACCCAGGGTTCTCTGATAACCCCACTGTGCACACTCACACCCCCAGCAGAGTCTATCACACAGTCAGGGGTAGGGAGGCACAGGGTTCCATATAGCATCAGCCTAAACTGGCATACGTAAGTTTCTGGTTATTTCTAATTGGAGCAAGATCTAGTGAATCAGATTCACCCATGGATTTTGAACTAGAGAAGTGTCTATAATTATTGTTGTTATCTGCTTTGTTACGCTTTGATTGTATATTTTGGTGTGATTTACCTGAAGACTATAAAGGAAGTCAGTTTATACATATTCCTGAAAGGAGATGATGGAAAAAGCAAATACAACATAGCATCTCAGTAATTTCTCTAGTTTTATGAACAGAGTCCAAGAAAATTATATCAAAGCCTACGGTAAGAGGAACTACAGGTAAAATCTAAAGAATCATCATTAATGAGGGACACAGTTAAGATTTCTGGCTCTGAAAATCCAAGGTAATCATAGCTGCCTAAATATAAATCTCCACACTTTCTCTATACAGATCAACAAGTACAAACAAATTCACATAAATAGCATATTTTCAGCATATACTACAATTTTTAATTACTTGTATCAGGAAAAATAAATACTGATTTCCAGCAAAGTTTTCTCTAAAACTCCCACCATGAGCCTATGCAGAAAGCTGGGGTTGGAGAAGGGGGAGAAGGGGAGAAAGAGCAGAGAGAAGGGAATCCAGAAAAAATGTGCAGAAAACAGAAGGGAGGTTAATGAAGCTGAAATCATCCTTAGTGATGAGATGCTTACAGAGTCGTAGAATATCAGAGTACTGACTCCAGGGAAAAAACTTTAAATTCATTATAATAATTAAGAAGATGGTCATAGAAAGAAATATCTTGGAGGAAAAGAGAATAAAAGGGAAGGAAAGAGGTGCCCATTAGAGATTGGTCACAGAAAAAAAGTGAAGAATACTACAGAATCCCTCCATACAACATTTTTTAAAGATGAAAGATGAAAGACACACAACCCTACGACCGATTGCCCCTCCCTGCCTCACTCCCATGTCATCTATTAAAGAAATTGCAATCTTCTACTCTGACAGAAGACGGCAACGTTGGAGAACAAATCTGGAAATCACCTCAGACGGTTTGGCTGTGTCACCATCCAAATATCCTCTTGAAATGTAGTTCCCACAATTCCCACGTGTTGTGGGAGATCATTGAATCATGGGAGCAGTTTCCTCCATACTGTTCTCATGGTAGTGAATAAGTCTCACCAGATCTGTGGTTTTACCAGGGGTTTCTTCCTTTGTATCTTCCTCATTCCCTCTTTGCGTGCTGCCATCCATGTAAGATGAGACTTGTTCCTCCTTGCCTTCTGCTATGATTTTGAGGCTTCCCAAGCCCATAGAACTATAACTCCAATTAAACCTCTTTCTTTGTAAATTGTCCAGTCTCAGGTATGTCTTTACCAGCAGTGTGAAAACAGACTAATACATTTTCAATTCAAGAGAAATCAAGTAGACAAAATAATGATATAGAAAACCTAAACAAGACCAATAACATAAATTGTATGAGTATATATTGAATTTTATATGCCAAACCAGTCAATCAAATATGTAGGTATGTGTAACTCTTTTCTATACAAAGCTACTATAAAAAGAAAACAAAATGAAAAAACTCCCCCAAATGAATAATCAAGAAATAAATATTCATGAGGTCAATGAAAATTTTAACACAAGTGAAACCACTATTTACTGTCAATTTACTGGCGACATAAAAAGACACATAAAATTAAATTTTCAAAGTATAAGAACCCAAATGAGAGCTAAAACAAGAATAAATGAAACAAGAGTTGGTTTTAGGGAGGAAATATAGGGTGATAGCATATCCTAAAATCCAATTATATGGTGCCTATATCATATTCAAAATAGATATGAATGCATATTTAATGCGGAACACTGAAGAAGAGTAGAAAAACAATAAATAGGCTAGGGCAGTGGCCCATGCCTGTAATCCCTGTACTTTGGGAAGCCAAGGTGGTGGATCACCTGAGGTTAGGAGTTCCAGACCAGCCTGGCCAACATGATGAAACCCCGTCTCTACTAAAAATATAAAAAATTAGCCCGATGTAGTGGTGGGCACCTGTAATTCCAGCTACTCAGAAGGCTGAGGCAGGAGAATCACTTGAACCTAGGAGGCGGAGGTTGCAGTGAGCCGAGATTGCGTCACTACAATCCATTCTGGGCAATAAGAGCGAAACTCAAAAATAATAATAATAAATAAAAATAAATTTAAAAAACAAAAAGTGAAAAGAATCAGAGAGAAATTGGTCGAAAGGAGAAACAGGCGAAGAACTGTCAAAGTCAGCGTAGGAATAAGCAGAGTCTGTGAAGAATAAATCAATGCAATAAAAGAAAAGTAATATTTTAAACTCTAACTCAAAAAAGCTTTCCAGAAATGCAAGAAAATCTGAATCTACATATCAGTATAGCCAACCAAGTACTAGGGAAAACTGATCGGGAAAAGAGAACTTGACAAATGTACAAAAGCAACATGCAAAGCAAGGCAAGAATGAAATAGCATTTATACAAAAATCAAGAAAAGAAGG